TTTTTTAGATAGCAAGTAATTTTTTCGGTTGGCCAAAAGTCAACTCTTAAAGCAGAATAGCCTAAAAATACTTTAAAAAATATAAGGGTTAAATTTTGTGTTAAATGGACTTCCCTTGATCACGTTGATCTCGAGGCGTTGATGCGAAATTCAAATTCGACTAAACTGCCTTTTTAGCAACACTAAAATGGACATATTCAAACTAACTCTGGAGTTTGATTTAATGCCGTTATAATAAATGGAAAAAATTTATGTAAATAAATATCAACTGATTCAAATATTTTCACTTTTCAAAGCAACATTCCCCAGCTTACTTAAAGAAACCTCTTCGTCTGCTTAATCTATGCATCAGCCCTGTACATGAACGTGAGATTATCAGCCATTTTCAGATTTAAACACGAGCAGCCATTTTCCTTCTACTCAGCTACGCAGTTAAAGGAGTCTTAATGCACATGTAAAATGAGCTGTTGCGCACTTACAAAGTACGAAGCGTGCCACTTACTGACGTGGTCAGATAAAGTTTTTAATATGTTTTTATTTTTATGTTTACACAGCATTTAATTAATCAACTTCCACGGCTACAGGCTCCGCATCTATAGGTGGCCTGTGGTGCTTCATGCACTCGAGTTTCAATGCGTATATACATACATATGTATGTACATATGTAAGTAGCAGGCATACGAGGATAGGAATGCTTTTACGATACATTTTTTATTAGGTTTTTGCTACGCCTCACGCAGTGTTCGGTGCTTAAAAAGGAAATGAAAAAGTATGCCCGAAAGTAATAATATCTAAATGACACATAAACGACACGATTTAAACGCAGTTGGCTCACATTTTCTTTAAGAGTCAATAACTAAAAGTGAGTAATAATAATTAAAACGAGAACATAGATGCTTGATTTTTATTATTTGCTACTTTTTACTGTAGAACATATCTTCTTAACATTTCTGGTGCACGAGAAAAACTGTTGCCAACATTTCTATATTTTTCTGTATTTTATTGTAGATATGTATGTATGCATGATCTTGCGTTTCTTGGCACGTGGTTGTCATTGTTGTTAGCTGCGTTCGTTCAGAAATTTCAGTAAAAATTAGCCAACAAGTTGGACGACAGCAATCAATTTTGGCGGTTACACTTGAATCCGTACATTTATATACCTAATTTTATATAATCCTAAATAATAATTAATCATTAATTAGGTGTAGTAAAAAGAAATCCATTAGTTTTGCATAGTAGTATAATTTTTTCTTTTCGTATCCGGTCCTGTTCAAATTTTTCCAAAATGTTGTTTGTGAAATCTTCAGCTCTTGGGCAATCGAAACAGCGCTAACCTGACGGTCGCACTCGACAATGTCCATGATTTTACCGGCATTTTCGACAATTGGCCTCCCACTCCGTGGAGTATCCTTTATGTCAAAATTACCTGAATGAAACCGAAATTTTTCATGATTGACTGTAAAGCTATTCACATTTTCAGCCGCATGGCTCGCGTTTTTGCCCTTATCGAAGAAAAACTGTAAAATATAGAGCATTTCTCTTTCTCGCTCAAACAAAACGAAATCAACCAATCACAAAATTGTCAGAAAATCACTGATACAGATAAATAAGGTCATCTATTGGAAAAATAATACAGTAGATTTATTTTTACTACGCCTATTATATTCTAATTCTATGCCTTCAACATTCCTAACTTCTAATTCATCACCGTGGGCTTGGTAATATGCGGGCGATGATTTCACTCCACTGCCACCGCATTCTCTTTTAATGAGTACCTTAACTACTGAATCGTTGAATCGTCGAATCGTTGATACCATTAAATTTAATGTATTTTAATGTAAAATTATATATTTTGGACCTTATTCATATTGAAGTGTTAATATTATTTTAATTTTATTGATTATTCAATCAAATGATCAAAAATTAGCTGTTTGTTATTTTTTTTTTGTTATTTTTTACAGGCTGAAAATTTTCCAGCATGAATTTGCAACTTCATCTTGAAACTAAACTTCAAAATTGCGCGCTCTTAGAAACGAACTAATTTTACTGAGTTTTTGGCTCAGCGAACACGATTCAGTAAAGTTCAGTAACAATTGTTACTGTCCATTTAGTCACCGAACAGAACTAGTAATTGCAATAAACTCTCTTATTAATAACTGTGCGAAAAGTAATGACTTATTTGAAAAATGAACAAAATAAGAAATAAATGGTGTGTACCCGTGAATATTCGAATAATAAATCAGCTTAGAAGAGGCTTAAACGCAAACTGTTTGCCTCTAATACATATATATACATATATGAGTATGCTACGCACGTATTGCCATTAAAATCATTGCAATAATTTTCGATTAATCGCGCTGATGGATGGCGACTACAACGGAATGATACGGGACGCATGTAATTTTAGCGGATTGCAGGCGCTGATAAGCTTACATGGATTTCGAAACACAAGAGCGCCACAGCAGAGGAGTTGCCCGTAGATACGGACTGAATTTTACAATCGGTGTGAAATTACAAAAATTTATAGTACTTCTGTTTATGTACGTGCAGTTATACAATATACCACTTATTTTATGCTCTTCTATTATAGATATTGCAAATGTTTACTTGTGTTAATAAAAGTATAATTATTTCGGAAATTTTTCTCGCGGGTAGGGAAAGTTTTTGACTAGAAGTAACCAGAAGTTATTTGTGAATAGCTTACAGCGGTTTACTAATTTTCTAACATCCCAAATCGTTCAAAGATTCCTTAATTTTTAGCAACAATGTGGACCGGAATGAAATAACGGTCGTTTTTTCAGAAAAATATTTGTACATATGATATACATATATATGAATGGCGCTACGTAACCGCTAAAGGGATTTTTCGGCCGAGCTCCTCCTCCAATTTGTGATTTTGCGTTTTGATGTTCTTCCAACAAATAAAGGGACCTATAGTTTATACTAAGCCGCCTCTGAACGGCTGAAGTTTTCTTATAAGGAGCCTTTATTTCATGTCCGAAATACACAATCCCTGTAGAGGGGCGACCGCAATTAGAAAACTAAACTTCATTTTTTATTTAAATTAGTTTTCCATAACTTTTGGATGTTGCTGGCACCGGGATATGAACCCGGGTCTTCCGAATGTCAGTGCGCAACGCTAACCACTCGGCTATATGTATGGTAAAATTTTCGCTTTTCGATCCGTGGCAACAGAGCTCACACCCCGATACCTTATCTTATATTATAAGGCCGGACTGCTACGCCTTTATAACCTAACCAAGCTACAGAATGTAACAGGGTAATAATTTGAAACAAAAACCCTAAAAGGTGAAAAGTCGTTTGTCTGGAATACCACTTGACCTTAATAAAATTAAATGCCCTTGATTTGCTATTTAAAGTGCCATAACTAGACTTTATTTTTTATCTTCTTATATTAATATGCAGCTCGTTCAAAGCTTCAGTTTGAAAAAAGAGTACCATGTTGTTTGAAATTTACATATTACAAAGTGTGTAATTCATTAATTGGATAATGTAGGTATTTCTAGTTAATTAGAAGCTAATTACAGAAATTCACCACCTTAATTTACACAACTTCAATTGCCAGGTAATTCATCAAAGTTTCTACGCCGATTGCGTAAAAATAAAATTTGAAAGATAATATTGAATGTGATTAATATACATACATATGTTGCACAAATAAACTCAAGAAATGCCACAACACGAATATGTATGTATAAATGAATACTTTTGTCGCTACACACAACACAAGCAAATATGTAAAGAGAGAGCAAAAAAAACATAACACCTGTCGATTGACAAAAGTCAGAAACTTAGTAGCGATGGAGAATTACAAAAAAATTTACAACAAAATGCAACCAGTTTAGCCTTTTTGCGCCAAATGTCTTGAGAGCGAAAATCCACGTGATTCCTGCCACAATTCGATAAATGGTAAACAAATGCATAAATGTGTGAAACGACTGAATGAATTGTGGATGAATGATTTTTCTAGTGTCCATGTAAGTGTAGAATATTTTCCTTTTTTATTTTTCGAGGCTCTAAGCATTTTTTGCGGCTGCGACTTTACCCGCTCATGTACATACATATGTATGTAACTCTTGTCTGACAATCTATCGGTCAGACGCATTGACTATTCAAAAGTTTCGATCTGGCTCAATCAGCTGGGCTGCTGGCTGTTTACTTGCTTAAGCGAGTGGAAACATCCGCTTAATGATCTCTTGGCTAGACTGGGGTTGGTATGGGCTTGAGATTTACGATTTCATACTAGGGTTGTGTGAATATGTGCCAACATTAAAGGTTATTGTTCAAAAATTTTAAACAGGTTAATAACCTTACGTTCAACAAATATATACTCGTTTTATGGTCTTATTAATAAATAAATTAATTTTTAATAAAACTTAATTGAACTTGCAGTAGGAGCGCAACTAATAATAGGGGTAGAAGAAAAAACCACAAGTATTAAGTACCTGCAGTTAGAAAAATAACAGGACTATAGCCCCAGTCTTCCGAATGGTAGTACACACTGTTAACCACTCATACAAAAAATATCTTGTGGAAGCTATAGCTATAGGGGTGCAAGTGTTCTTTATTTTCGAAATGCTCCAAAATTTCAAACCAAATCGACACACTCTAATACGCATTTGAAGCATTTGTCCCGCAACGATTTCAGCAACGGAATAATTTTTCAAGTCTGCGGATTTTATGGTACTTTTTTCATATTCTTCCACAAATTAATTTTTTCTCTCTACATTAATCCAATGGTTTTCTAATCATTTTATTTTGAAGTTTTTTGCTTATGTATCTGTTTTTCAGTAATTTAATTTTTCGAACATATATTTTATATGTATACTCGTATATACATATGTTTATGTTCGTATGTTTTCCAATAACGTTTTTCACTTCATCATAACCAACACTAACGCCTCCCCGATCATGTGCTCTGGTGCTAATTGTGGTAGCCGACGCTTTGCAATTTAGTATAAATATTGTAGTTCTGTGGCAAGTTGTTTATAGTATTAACTTTGTCACCAAACACTTCAGAAGTTTCAATCTTCAGTCGTTCTTTAAGCAAGATGAAAATTACCGTAAGTGTTGTCTTTTAACTGATTTTCTCAAAAGTGCGTGTTGCTATTATCCTTTAAGAAAACATCTTACCCTTAAATAACGAAACAAGATTTGTGTGTGCACAATTTTAGCTGACAAAAATATTCTGATGGAAGCCACCACATTTGTTGCTCAAGTCCTCGTTGAACTGAGCAAAAACTGTGGAGTGGTTATGTTCATGAGTTGAAAGTTTCTTGTGAGCCAAAACAAACAAATAAATGGAATTAGTTAAGGCAATTGCTTGCTATTGCTGTTTTTGCAAACTAAGTTTTTCATTCATATGCATTTGGATTTTGAGATTTAATAGACAACCTTTTACAATTTTTCGTGTCTACAAGACACTCCTGACGCATATTAAAACGTATCAGCTTTGGCATTACCCCCAACTTCGAAAAAATGATATTTACATTATATGAGTCTTAGCAGTTTTAAATTAAGAAAATATTGGTTTTCTTTGTTTTTATTTCCAACGCAGCTTATTGTACTTATCGCTGCCAGCGTTGTCATGGCCGCTCCAGTTGAAGAGTCGTCGGTGAAGGAAAAGCGCGGTCTCGCCTTGGGCCTCGGCTACCACGCGCCGTTGTTGCCACTCTCCACCTCGCACTTGGTGGCACCAACTGTCTACCACTCAGCACCACTGCTGCAAGCCGCACCCATCGTACACGCTCCGATTCTTACGCATTCCGCACCAATCATCACTTCGCATGCCATTTCCCATTCCATTTTGCCCTCGTATCATTTACCAGCTATTTCTACTTTGCACCATTACAAATAAATGAGGCGAAGGTGTAAAGTGGTATTTGGAGATGGATTAAATGAGATCGCTCATTTAAAATGGAGGATGGCTCAGAATTAAAAGCTTAATAAGTGTATAATAATCCAGCAACAACGAAAAAGAAAAGCAAAAAATGAAACTAAAAAAGAACAAAATTTCAAAAATTTCCACAAATAGAATTTGAGAAAGTAAAACTAAAAAAAGAAAAGAAAAGAATAAAAAAGAAAAGAAAAACACGTCCGCGAAGATCATGAAAACAATCAAAATCGCAGCTTAATTCTATGTACTCAATATTAAAAAAACCTGGTGGAAGGCCGAAATTATTGCGACTCATCAACACACGCCAGTTCCAGAAAGTATAGCTACAATAACAATAAAAAGAGCTTTGCGGTTTCTGATTCCATTAGCCTTTATCCATGGCTTTTCTTTATATTCTTTAACTGTTTGCTTTTGCTATTTTTTTCAGAATTCGTGTACCTTGTTGATTTTCATTTTTCTGCTGTTGTCCTATAACACTAATATTTCATATATGAATATTAAATAAGTAATAAAACGTTGTTTACGTGATACTTTGGTTTTTTTAAGCCTTGCGGATTTATATAGGTAAAGGTGAGATCACAGTGAATACTCTATGACCTTAATTTTTATTTTTTTTTCAATTTTTTTTATTGGCGTTGGCTCTGCCTACGCGATTATAGCTGAATTCATTATAGCGCTGTTTGGCGGCAGTTAAAAATACGAAGAGAGGCCAAGATACACAGAGGCGTGTGCGTATATTCGCTGCAACAAGATAATGTTCCGAGTCGATGTTGGGTAATCGGTCGCGAGGTCCAGGTTTTGTGTCTTTCGATCAGGGGACTTCTAAGTAGCTTGGTGAATTTTCTTGTACTGGAATCTAGTGCTACAGGCAACCATATTTCGGGCCCCGGTGAAGTCGATCAGCCTCAACCCATTTCGGGATGTTTCGCCGTGGATGCTGAATTTACCGACCGTTGTGCCGAATATACAATCTTTGCCTACCCCGGCGTTTAAGTCGCCAAGCACAAGGCGCTCATAAAAGCCATTCTTGGTCACATCGTCCTTTTCTTTCGTCGGGGTGTGGGCCCAAATCAACGATATGTTAGAGAATTTCGCTTTGATGTGGATTGTGGCGATATGTTCATCCACCGGAGTGAATGACAGTGCTCGACGAATCCGACACCAAATTTGCTCTCCTTTATATGGCCGCAGTAGTAAATTTCACAACGACCCACCTTCTTCCATCTTTGTCCCTTCCATCGCATTCCTTTGGACGGCGGTGATGTCAGCCTTTAATTTTATGAGGACATCAACCAGCTAGGCAGCGGCACCTTCCTAATTAAGAGACCGGACAATTCGTAATCCTTAAAATATTTGCGGGCGTCGTCATCGAAAGGGGGTCTCTCAACCGACGCATAATATAATTTTTCATTGAAGTTTACGCACAACCGCATGGGACTCGCCTTCTCGCTTTAGCTCACCTCCAAACGGATGCTTGTTGGCTACCCAGGGGATAAGTCGTGAACTGCTTGAACCAAATGCAAAAGAATCGGTTCTGGCCACTCCCAGATTGGTGAACTTCTACAAATGGCTCCATCACCCCAATTTTTGTGGCCACCGCAACGGAGAGCGCTCGCTATTCTTCTATATGTATGCTTACGGGGGCTGATATCAAAAAAAAATCATGTTTAAAGGAATTTGGAATATTAAACTTTGATCAAAAAAAATCCCCTCCATATCAGTAATACGAATTTTGTTTGCCATTTAGATGTAAATAATACCGCTATCTACCAACTGAATAAAATCGTCTAAATAACCTGTGCTGCACAAGAGAAAAAATACCGAAGTTCGAAAAAAAACACAAAAGCCTCTAACGATTACCCCATCCAACAGGACAACTGATCTAGTCGGGAGGTGGGCGGGAAAAAGGTTAAGTAAATGAAAGCATTTTAAGTGGCATTACCCTGCAATGCCACTTCAACGCGTAGAACCGCGTTTATATTTGCAATCAACCATGTTTATGCAACAATAACAACACGCCAACAGCCCGTAATAATGATGCTCGAGGCGACTGTGATTGGCGGATATAAACAAAGCGCTTATACCATATGCAAAAATTGAGAAGGAAGCGCAGGATAGTGAGAAGAAAGGAAAAGAATGGAAGAAATCCCAAAGCTTAAGCTCGAAAGGTATTAAAGTCCTCAATGCATTGTAAAAGCAGAAGCCGTTATAGCTGTCAATGTATGTATGTGTGACTTTATATAGTACATGAATCTCAGCAAAAAGCGTACGCTCTTTGAAGTGCCGATAAACGAGTGTCGCAAAAAGTCGTCATTTTGTTGATTGTCAAGCCTGCCATTTTGAATGCTTACGAGTATATATGCTACAAGACAAAAGAATAAATTGCCACCCCAATAGTCGGTAGGACTAGTCCTTCACTTTTACCTTCGCAATGTAAATATCTTTATACAAGGTACTGTTAAGTGCAAAATTAAAATCTAATCGAGTAGGATTTAAGCATAAATTGAAATATTTTTGTTAATCCGTATCCCTATAAATCTTTTCGTACGTACTTCTCACAAGCCAATCTCAGAAATTTGGTCAAATTGATTTTCCATTATTCTTGAGATTCGGTAAGCGTTCCTTGATAAAGTAACCTTGATGCAAGATCAGTACTTGACGAAATGGGATGCCGTCGGTATGAGATCACAGTCGCATTTCCAATAATCGCTTCCACCCGTCTCAGTTTTTTTCTGACTTTTTTGATTGTTTTGTTATATTCAAACCATGGCCGATATGAAGCATTTGCGCAGATTAGACAAGAAACTGACGTGCTACTATGTGCAATACCCTATAAACAATCGTAACCTCGGTTATCCTCAATTCAGAAATATGTGGTGTAATGTACTCCAACTCATACAAACATATTCACAATCTTACTTAAGTATAGGATTTCCCATTTCGTGGTGTATAAAGAAGAGAGCAATATTTTGACATCTGTCAAACTTAGCTGTCAAACCAAACATGTTAAAGGTCAGGCATATATGACTTAGCAACCGCAAAACGCGTTCAAATTGTTATAACTTACTACAAAAATAGTATTTCAAACGTGGTCATCTTTAACTCTTTAAGAGGAGATTATGGTGCACATAATCGTCCGGCCACAGATATTATAACTGTTCATCATCTTTTTGCACGATCCACCTCAATTTGGACCATATTTCTTTGAAAAGGACAGTGGCGAGACTCTCACTGACAGCTTGGAGCGTCATGGTCGTATGATAACCGGTTTTTTTGTCTGTAATTGAAGAACACGACTTGTATAATATGTGGTTTTAACAAGATTGCGAGAGGAATAGTAAGGCAATCATTATAAATGCGTTTTATTTTGGAAACCGCAAAACGTATAACCTTGTATAATGCCATTGATGATACAATCACTTGAACCAGCACACCCTTCATTGAAAATCAGTCAAACGGAAATTGTAAAAATTGTTTCCCAACTTAATTGGCACTTGAAATAGTTACACGTCTCTGAGCCTTTCGGTTTTTGTCTTTGCCCTTGTTATTCTCTTGCAATCTACTCGGTGTTTTCAGTTCCGTCTTTGTTTTTTTATTTCTGCTGCTTTACATCGATTACCGGAATTGATTGAGGACGGAGTAAAAGTTTGTTGGAAAATTCCAAAATGCAAAACCTTTATAATGAACTTTTATAGATATGATTAAGGTGTTCATTTTGAACAAGCAATAACTTTTGTTGTCAATCACGTTATCTAAAAGTACCGATAAATGCTTAAAGCCCACTGCAAGCGAAATGTTAAAGGGCAGTAAACAAAAATTTAAAAGCTACATACATATATATATAATTGACGCTTTGTAACAACTGAAGCAATTCTCGGCCAGCTCCTCCTCCAATTTGTGATGCGCGTCTTGATATTTTTCCAGCAAATGGAGGAACCTGTAGTTTACTTTTTATTCCAAGCCACCGCCGAACGGCCGATCTCTTTTGTTTTTCCTGCAAACGTGTCTTGATTTCCTCTTCAACTCTCGGTATCTAGGAGATAGGCAGTCTGCTTTCTTTCCAATGCAGTTCGATATTCCCCATCGTACCAGCTCTTTTTCTGGCTCTGTTATATCGATGATGAGTACTCTCAGAGAGTAGAGTGTAAGTCGAGTAGAAACCTGTTTGACTGTTTTTTGTGATTGCAGCATTTCGACTCGAAGCTTCCTTGTGTTTGTTGATGGACGTTCTTTGATACTCAGAGGTGCGTCACTTACATATGCATTTAACAATAACAACACATCGCTCTATTTAATTATAGTTATATTTAACAACAATATCATCATTTGATATACTCTCACTACTCTATGTCAAGTCAGCATTCTGTTTTTTAATATTGGTTTCTCTTTTGTATTCATATATTCGTAAGGTTTCTTAGGAATAAACAAATTGTTCCTTATTCAGTCTTAAGATCACCTTCAAAATAAAAAGTACTAAAACTACTTGTCCCAGAACGCCACCTTGCATTTAAGTGAGGTCTCAGCACGCCACCTTATATAATATTTGAGTTATGAAAACTATTTGAACCAGTCTGGCCATATTGTAAACTTGCCGCTATGTGTTTTCCCCTTATTCTTCTATTAATTTTGTACTGAGGCGAATTCGCCCGCGTGCTTGAACCGTTCGTTTTTAAATCAGTTCATTCGCTAATAGACTGCGGGAAAGGCACGCAGCGGTAAATATTTGTGGCTTCTTTTATATTATTTTATTTCATGGTAAATTCACTAAAATTGTTTTAGAAATAAACCACATCCATTGAAGTAAATGTGCGTTAAATTCGTTATTGAATCCGGTATCAAATACACTACTTAACGGCTAATTTATTTATTACATATGTCGTGCGTGTCTTCGCTGCGAAAAGATAGTGATCCGAGTCGATGTTAGGACCTCGGAACCTACAACATCTAAAACACAGATCTGCCGCCTATCACAACGTGATCGATATGGTTTTGAGATTTTCCATCTGGAGGTAGCCACAACTAGTCATGATCCATCCAAAAAATATGTTACAAATGATATTGAGATATCCCTTTGCGGGACTTTAGACTCCACCTC